ATTCAGCTTCCTTCCACCCCCCACAAAGCCTGGCCCCAGTCACTGACCTCGGATCCCACCAAGCGGAGCAGCTCTATGGATCCACTAGCATCTGCCACACACAAGAGGGCATGGCCGGCCACCGGGACATGGCACCTGAGGAGAGAATTCACATGCCAGTCAGAATACGGGATATGCCCAGAGTACAGAAGAGCATTATGCACCCCAGTAATTTATTATTTAAATTTCAGCTCCAAAACCAGGTTGGAGCCTACAATTCTGCACCAAAAAGTTTCCTCAGCTTACGAATCAGGAAACTAACACCACTTCCCAGACTGATACTAACTCTAGGGCTCAAAAACTGACAAAGGAAATGAGCCCAAGTCTAAGCATCCAAGTGCCCAGAGGTGAGCAGGATAGTAAATAAAGGCATCCAAAGTTCAGAGGCTTCCTCATCTTGTTGCATGCTGCCAGGCATCAGGCTCCCTGGCTAACTGAAAAGATACTCATGACAAACCCCACACAAGTGGGATTGTTACTGTCGTACCACTTCATGTCCAGGATTGCAGAAGTATCTCCTCTTTGGATCTCAACCAGGGGGCAAGCAGAGCCGTCCTCATTGAAACTATACAGGTAGAGACGTCCTAAACGGACCTGAGGCTCGTCTATGTCCAGTCCGCTCTATAAAAACACAGATGTGTTCTGATTACCCTAATAGATACTGAGGAACCCAAAGGATGGAAAAAGGGATCGAGGGAAAGAAAAGGTTTGCTAAGGGTCTGGAACTCTGCCTGGAAGCAGCACCCTTTATTGTCTCTTCTCCTGCATGTGACTAATGAGCAGGGAGACAAGCTCTGTGGGACCCAGCACTTGCTCCTTCTGAACAGCTGGCACGGAACAGCTATGGTAAGGGTCACAGCAGGACCCAGTTCGCCTGGACAGTCCTGGGTTCGGCCTGCTGCTCCAGAGCCAGCTCACACTCTTATAGGAGGCCTGGTTGGGATCCGCGCAGACGCCTTCAAGAGATTAGGTATAGCTCCCAGGAAATTCCATTTTCTCTTTCCTCTAGACTTCATCCACAAGCTCGAGCCTCACCTGCACAGGGACGACATTCTGCTTTCAAGATGCCCGTTTCTAGCCTACCTTTTGGCCACAAAGCCAATGTCGTAGCTTCATCTCCTGTGCCACTCCACAGGAGACTTTTCTCTTTCAGCCTCCCCCGTTGCAGACCAGACAGAGATCCCAAAGCCTGAGGTCAGCTGTGCCTCTCTACAGCCTTTTCTCGCCCTTCCTGAGACCTCTTACGTGAGGAGTTTGGAACTTTAGCTTTTGGGGAAACGGCACTTGGGGAGCGCAGACCCGAGCCCCAGGGTGGAGACAGCTCGAAGCCAGGCGGGCTCCGCGCACCTTGCTCTCCGGGTCGGCGGGCTGGTCCTCTGGCTTCCGCAGCTGGTAGGTGCCGCAGGCCAGCAGGTGCCTGCAGCCTTCCAGCGGACACCATTCCACCGAGTCCGCCGTGTACTCCGTGTCCACCGTCTGCAACAGGAGGACGCGGCTGCCCGTCGCCCAGCAGTCGGAGAAGGACCCGGTGGGGACCGACGTGGAGGAGACCGGACGGCAGAGACGGGGTGACGAGGCCAGGATGGGAGGCGGCGCGGGGCCGGGGCGGCGCGGAGAGCGGGGTCGCAGGGCCAGTGGCCGGGGCGGCGGGGAGAGCGGGGTCGCGAGGTCAGTGGGTCTGGGCGGCGAGGAGAGCTGGGTCGCAGGGCCAGTGGGCCGGGGCGGCGGGGAGAGCGGGGTCGCAGGGCCAGTGGGCCGGGGCGGCGGGGAGAACGGGGCTAAGGCTAGCGGCCCGGGACACAAGGGGTCAGCGCACGCCGCAGCCCAAGGATCGCACTTCTTCCACTTCCGCAGTCGCTTCCTGACTCCTCCCGGGCAGCGGGGAGGACTTCCGGCCACCGCCACCTCCCCGCGAGGCTGGGCTCCCGCGCCCCCTACCGGCCGGCGGACCCCACGTGGCAGGGTGCATGCCCGGCCCTGCCGGCGAGACTAGGGGCTTGGGAGGGGACCGCCAAGTCCGCACGGAGTGAGTCCCGCGGGGAATCGTGGGGTAGCTGGACCCCGAAACGGGAGCAGGAGGGAAGCCGGCCGCTGGAAGAGGGGGTGTGCGAAGTCCACGATCCCCCCAAAGGGGTTGGGCCTTGGCTGCCCTCCTCATGTCTACTTTAGGGGCTGCCCATAGGGCAAGAACTGGGGCGCATGGGTGGGCGAGGACAGGGGACTAAGGAGACAGGGCCAGCTGCAGAGCCCATGGTAGGGTGCTGGGCAGGAAAGTGGACAGAGGGCAGGAGGGGGAGTATGTGGGCCCAAGGGGCAGGGGTCTGTTGGCCAGTTAGATTTAGGATATGAGGGAGGAGGCCCAGCAGAGCTCCCATCTGATTTGGAAAATTGAGTAGGTGCTGACGCCATTTAAAAACATGAGTGCAGGGGCTGGCCCCCTGGCCCAATGGTTAGGTTCATGCACTCCACTTCTGCGGCCCAGTTTCACGGGTTCAGATCCTGGGTGTGGAAATGGCACTGGTTATCAGGCCATGCTGAGGTGGCGTCCCACATAGTACAACCAGAGGCACTCACAACTAGAATACACACGATGTACTGGGGAGCTTTGGGGAGAAGAGGAAAACATAAATAAAAAGACTAGTGTGCTCTAAAGGACAGGTTTGGGAAAGGCATGTTTTGGACATTATGCATTGAATTGTGTCCCCCCCAAAAAGATATATTGAAGTCCTATCCCACAGTACCTCAGAATGTACCTTTAGAAATGGTCTTTACAGAAGTAATCCAGTTAAAATGAGGTCATTTGGGTGGGCTCTAATCCAATAGGACTCTGTCCTCATGAAGGGGAGATTTGCTTTGTCACAGACAGACACCCAAAGAGGGAAGACAATACAAAGATGTCAGATGGGTATGATGCACCTACAAGGTCTGAGGCTGTCACGAGTGAGGAGAGGCCCAGAATACCCTGCCCTAGTGCCTTTTAGGGGAGCGTGACCCTGCCAACACCTTGACGGCCTCCAGAGCCGAGACAATACGTTTTGCTGTTTGCAGCTACCCAGTTTGTTATGGCAGCTCCAGGAAAACGAACTGTTGAACGAAATCCTCATGGATGCCTTGCTATTCAGCCTGCAGTTCTGAAGCAAGGCTATGGCCAGAAATATAGCTACGAGTCAGCATCTCAGACGGCAGCTGAAGCACAGCACCAGGAAAGGCTGTTCAGGAAGCACCAGGACATTCTGAACTGACTCAACCACACGTGTCGATCTGGCACAAAAAACGGTCAGGCCAGCAGCCCCACACTTCACTCTGAACAGGTGAGAAACAAACCCTGTGTTCTGACTACCTAAATGTTGAACTTTCATAGACATTCTCAGATGTATGTCTACAAAGAGCAAGAGGTTGGAGCCATGAGAAAAGCAGCCAGGGGCTGCGTATCAGATCAGGGACAAGGGAAGCAAACGGATAAAAAGTCTGGACCCCACAGCACCTTCATGATGGCATCTGCTCCAGGAGGCCCTGCTGCACGGGCAAACTCCAGAGCCCTACGGCTCCCTTCCCAGCCCCGGCCCAGAGCCCTTCACCAGCACAGACGTGGGGCTCTCTAACAAATAGCACAGGGACAGCCACCAACTGCTGGTGGCTATGTTAGATAGCAGTCCCCAGGTCAAGGCTATCCCAGATGAGCCACGTGACCCAGTAGAGAGCAACCTGGTATCGGGACCCAGCATGGCATTCTATGGGTCAGCCAAAAGATCCTGGGCACCTCCCCTTCAATGTGATTTTCTGATGAACAGCTGACTGCAGAATAATTTGTGCTGGTCAGGGAATGTACACAGGCTGGAGTGCCTGGCCACCAAACCCTAACACGCCTGTCTACACAGGACACCACGCCAACAATCCAGGCCAGAGCTGGCCTCTGGAAGCAAGAGCTACCCCAGCCCTGGGAAAGTCCTGAGGGCTCACGCCAGCTGCTGTCTCTAGGGCCAGCACTCTCTCAGGATCACACAATTCCCTACCTCGATAGCTTTCAGAGCCCCCATTACTGCCTAGCCTAGGATCTGGAGGGACCTAGAGCAGACCTTATCTATGCAGCAAAAACATCCCCAATGAAGAAAATATGCCCTACCTGACCACACAGGGGCAAAGGGGAGCTTCTCGGCGAAAACGTGCAGGGCATGTGAAGTTCTCACCTTCAGAAAACCCCTTCCTCAGGGTGAGGATTGATCCCTCCTGCTCTCTGCACACTGCCATCATCTGTCTCCCCAGTCCTGTTCTCCAGGACACACTGCCCAGGAAGACTCAAGTAGTGCAAAAGAAGCTACCAGAAACTCAGCTTACAGGACAAAGGCCACCAAGGGGCTGTCCCCAGCCAGGGAAGGAGTGAGAACACAGAGGGCATCCTGGAAGATAACAGAAGAGCTTCAGGAGGGAAGGTATAGCAGGAGCCCACAGGACTGATGTGGGACCAGGAAGGCCCAGGATAGACAGTCAGAGGTGGGATGGCCAGTGTTCATTCTCCCAGGAAGCAAGGCCTCTAGCAGGCTGGTTGGCTGGACCCGGAGACCAGCAAGAGCCTGGCCACACAGCCTGGCTCGCTGCTCCGAGATGACTCTGCAAGGTGTACAAGATGCTGCCCAGCCCTCAGACTATGGCTCCCAGAAGGGAGGAGGCCTGGCCCAGGGGGCCACAGCCCAACACCGTGGACGGGGAAGCAGCACTCACCCTTGCTGCTTCAATTCCCGGGCCTGCTGGCCAGAAGGCGAGCACCCAGCCACTCAGTGCCTCAGTCACAGTGACGATTTACCGGTGCCAGGGCCAAAAACATTCCACGCCTGCCACACACTCGCTCAGGAATTCCAGACGTGAGGGCGAGCCTCACACCCCACACCCAGACAGCCCCGATCCACTCAGAAAAAACCCTCAACAGCATAAGGGGTGAAGAGGAGGTCAGAGAACAGCCAAGGCACCAGACGACTCCACCCCTTTACTTTGCCTTGTGGCTATGACTCCACACAGCCCATGCTCTTCAGGCTGCAGCTGCCCAGGAGAGAAGCATCTGCCACATGACAGTTTTTAGGCATGTGGCCCGGCTGTTTGCCATTTGAAGATTACCACAAATGATTCTATTTGTAATTTCTAACCCTCTCACTGCCTCCCCCCACAAAAAAACTGTACATGAGTTTACAAACATATTAACATATAAATAATGAGAAGCATCCTGGCGGGAGCCTCCCCAGCTGTCTCTGCTTGAGGTTAACACTTGGAGGGGAGCGCTGTGTCCGCACAAAGTGCCCACGACAAGGGGCTCCACGGCGGCTGTCCTGGGTGCGCATCACTGGCTCCTTCAGCACTTCCAGGTTCAACCACCAGTCTGTGTCTGCTGTGCCCGAGGAAGGTCTGGAAGCCACGTGCACGGGGGCTGCACTGCCGCCCTGCTGCCCGTCACCGCTCCGGCTCTAGCTCGTGCTGGAAGGGGCGCTTCTTCTCCCGACAGTGCTTCTTGTGGGCAGGCCAGTCCTTCTGCTGGCACTGGGAGCCACAGTACCTGGCCACCTGGCAGCGCCCACAGATGTTGAACTCCCGGAGCTGCAAGAACACACAGAACAGCCGTGGCTTCAGGTCACGCCAGGGAATCCACTGTGGGGCAGGAACTACATCTAAGAATCAGGAAGGACACAGCAACCCCACGCACGGAGGCTGGAGGGTCTGGGGCCTGGTTAGGCAACCACAAAGGAACAGCCACCAGAGGAGAAGCTGTGAGAAAAGGGAGCTCTCAGAGAGGCACTGCAGAATCTGCAGTGACGAGACCCTCGCCACGACCAAGGCTGGGGCATCAGGGTATGGAGCGGCCCAGAGCCAGTGCTCGCAGAGGGTGTGTACCTGCTTCTCGATCATCGTGCAGGGAGGGTAATGGCACTCGTAGTAGGTGCAGGAATTCTCCTCCTCCTCCACCACGTCCCCATTGGCGTTATAGTACCGGGTCACATTCAAGACGGGGAACTGCTCTTCTATGGGGTCCGTGGGAAGCTGCTGAATCGCAAGCCAATATAAGCTCTGCTCCCTTAGAGAGAGAAGAGGATGCTCAGTACACTCCAGCCAGACAGGATCACAGCAGGACTCCAAGAGGGACAGGCCGTTTCTTCTTGCTCACAATACCCTTTGCCCCCATCTCTGTTACAGCAACTTGACTTTTCTTTGGCCTACCCACACTGCATGGGCTCATCTCCATGTGAGCTCAAGTACTGAGCGTGTCCTATCTTCTCACTAAGATAAGGGCAGAGCTGTGTCTGCCTCCTCCATCAATCTCCCCAACACCTGGGACTAACAGGCACACAGAGGCACAGAGTGTGCAGTGTTTCCTGGGAGCTGACAGAGCCCAGGGCACCTGAGCAGGCCAGGCAGCCCTTCTTCCTGCTCATGGCCCCAGAGCCATCTGCTTCTGCCCCTGACTGGTCACCTCCCCTTCGTTACTGTGAGCTGCTCTACATCCTTCTAAACACTTATCTTGCTTGAGTGGACCAGATGCTTGCAACTGAAGAATTGTACCTGATGCTAGAACTGAGGTGCCTGTAACAGGCCCCACAAGGGGCACAGGCTGGGTGGGGCAAGTGCAGGGCAGCGAGCAGCCACCTCTGGAGCTGGGATTCAAAGGAGATGCCACTGCGAGAGCAAAGGGACAGGTGAACCATCCCCTTCAACTCACCCACCCTCTAGAGGGGCCAAGCCTAGAGGAATTTGGTTAAAAAAGGGAAACAGTCACCCTCATTTAGCACCATATACAAAAAGTAACTCGAAATGGACAAGGACTTAAACAATAAAACTCTCAGAAGAAAACACGGGGCATCAGCTTCACAACACTGGATTTGGCAATGACTTCTTCTTTTTTTTCTTTTAAAGATTTTACTTTTTCCTTTTTCTCCCAAAGCCCCCCTGGTACATAGTTGTGTATTTTCAGTTGTGGGTCCTTCTAGTGTGGCATGTGGGATGCTGCCTCAGCACGGCCTGATGAGCAGGGCCACGTCCGCGCCCAGGATCCAAACCAGCAAAATCCTGGGCCACGAAAGCGGAGCAGGTGAACTTAACCACTCGGCTACGGGGCCAGGCCCTGGCAATGACTTCTTGATATGAAGCCAGAGGCAGAGACAACAAAGGAAAAATCAGACAAATTGGGCTTCATGGAAATTTAAAGTTTGTGTGCATCAGGAGACACTAGCCATAAGAAATATCTGACTCAATTAGGAAATGCAACATAAGGATAATAGGTATCCGAGAAAGAGAAGAGGAGAAAGGAGCAAAAACCTTGTTCAAACAAATAATAGCCGAGAACTTCCCAAATCTGGGGAAGGAGATGGAAATCCGTGTGGCCAATAGATCTCCTAATTACATCAATGTAAAAAGACCAACTTCAAGGCATATAATAGTAAAGCTGGCAAAAGTCAGTGACAAAGAAAAAACATTACGGGCAGCAAGGCAAAAGAAAATAACCTAGAAAGTAACCCCTATCAGGGTTTCAGCAGGTTTCTGAGCAGAAACCTTACAGGGTAGGAGAGAATGGAATGACATATTCAAATCTATGAAGAACAAAAACTTTCAGCCAAGAATACTCTATCCAGAGAAAATATCCTTCAGATATGACGGAGAAATAAAAACTTTCCCAGATAAACAAAAGCTAAGGGAGTTCATAGCCACAAAACCCCCCCTGCAAGAAGTACTCAGGAAGGCCCTCATAACTGGGGGGGGAAAAACAAAGGAAAGGGGTTACAAAACCCTGAGCAAAGAGATAAGTAGAAAGACAAAGTCAGAAAATTGCAGCTTTCCATCAGAACAGGTTAGCAAATGCTTACGTATAATGTTAAAAATAAAGGGAAGGAAAACACTAAGAATAAATATAATCTTGTCATTTTAACCACAAACTCACAACACAAGAAAAAAGATGTGACAATAACAACTTAGAAGGGGAAGCAGAAAGGGATGGAACCAGCTTGGTCTAAGGAAATAAAAGGTCATCAGAAAATGTACTCTCTCATCTATGAGATGTTTTATACAAACCACATAGTAACCACTAAACAAATAATTAGAACAGAGATACAAATTACAAATAAAGAGAAAACTAAGAAAACTACCTAACTGAATTGGTAGCTGGAAATACATGGGACGAGAAACAAAGGAAATGCAGAACTGTAAAACAAGTGATAAAATGGCAGCATCAGGCCCCCACATTTCAATCATCACTCTAAATGTAAATGGATTGAATTCTCCAAAAAACAGACACAGAGTGGAGGGAGGGATTAAAGAACAAGACCCAACAACATGCTCCCTCCAGGAAACGCATCTCAGCTCTAGAGACAAACACAGACTCAGAGTGAATGGATAGAAGATGATACTCCAAGCTAATGGCAAACAAAACAAAGCAGGTGTCACCATACTTATATCAGACAAAGTAGATGTCAAGACAAGACAGGTAAAGAGAGACAAAGAGGGGCAGTGTACAATGATCAAAGGGACATTCTATCAAGAAGACATAACCCTTATAAATATACATGCACCCAACACAGGAGCACCAAAGTACATGAAGCTACTATTAACGAAACTACAAGGAGATGTCAACAACAATCCGATAATAGGAGGGGACCTCAACACCCCACTAACACCAATGGTAGATCATCCAGACAGAAAGTCAACAAGGTAATTGTAGAATTAAATGAAAAACTAGACCAGATGGACTTAATAGATATATATAGAACACTCCATCCAAAACAGCAGGTCACACATTCTTCTCAAGTGCGCATGGAACATTCTCAAGGATAGACCATATGTTGGTAACAAGGTAAGCCTCAATAAATTTAAGAGGACTGAAATAATATCAAGCATCTTTTCCAACCATAAAACTATGAAACTAGAAATCAATTCCAAGAAAAAAAGCTGAGAAAGGGGCAAAGATGTGGAGATTAAACAACATGCTACTGAATGACCAATGGATCATTGAAGAAATCAAAGGAGAAATCAAATATTATCTGGAGACAAAAGAAAATGAAAACACACCATACTAACTCATTTGGGATGCAGCAAAAGTGGTCCTAAGAGGGAAATTCACTGCAAAACAGGCTCACCTCAACAAACAAGAAAAATCCCAAATAAGCAATCTCAAAACACACCTAACAGAATTAGAAAAAGAAGAACAAAGCCCAAAGTCAGTAGAAGGAGGGAAATAATAAAAATGAGAGCAGAAATAAAATGAAATTGAAACAAAAAAGACAATAGAAAGGATCAAAGAAACAAAGAGCTGGTTCTTCAAGAAAATAAAATTGACATACCCTTAGCCAGGCTCACTAAGAAAAAAAAAGAGAAAAGACTCAAATAAATAAAATTAGAAATGAAAAAGGAGCAATTACAATGGCTACCACTGAAATACAAAGGATTATAAGAGAATACTATGAAAAACTATATGCCAACAAATTGGACAACCTAAAAGAAATGGATAAATTCTTAGACTCATACAACCTCCCCAAACTGAATCAAGAAGAAATAGAGAATCTGAATAGACCAATCACAAGTAAAGAGTTTGAAACAGTAATCAAAACCCTCCCCAAAAATAAAAGTTCAGGACCAGATGGCTTCTCTGAAGAATTCTACCAAACATTCAAAGAAGATTTAACATCTATCCTTCTCAAACTACTCCAGAAAACTGAGGAAGATGGAGCACTTCCTAACACGTTTTACAAGGCCAGCAACACCCCAATACCAAAGCCAGACAAGGACAACACAAAGAAGGAAAATTACAGGCCAATACTGCTGATGAACATAGATGCAAAAATCCTCAATAAAATATTGGCAACCAGAATACAGCAATACATTAAAAAGATCATACACCATGATCAAGTGGGATTTATATCAGGGACACGGGGATGGTTCAACATCCACAAATCAATCAATGAGATACACCACACCAATAAAATGAGGAACAAAAACCACATGATCATCTCAATAGATGGAAAGAGAGCATTCGACAAGATCCGACATCCATTTATAATAAAAGCTCTCAATAAAATGGGGATAGAAGGAAAGTACCTCAACATAATAAAGGCCGTATATGACAAATCCACAGCCAATGTCATACTCAGTGGGGAAAAACTGAACACCATCCCTCTGAGAACAGGAACAAGACAAGGATGCCCACTATAGCCACTCTTATTCAACAGAGTACTGGAGGTATTGGCCAGAGCAATTAGGCAAGAAAAAGAAATAAAAGGAATCCAAAATAGGCAATGAAGAAGTGAAACTCTCACTGTTTGCAGATGACATGATTTTTTTTTTTTTGAGGAAGATTAGCCCTGAGCTAACTACTGCCAATCCTCCTCTTTTTACTGAGGAAGACTGGCCCTGAGCTAACATCCAGGCCCATCTTCCTCTACTTTATACATGGGACACCTACCACAGCATGGCTTTTGCCAAGCGGTGTCATGTCCGCACCCAGGATCTGAATCAGCAAACCCTGGGCCACCAAGAAGTGGAATGTGTGCACTTAACCGCTGCTCCGCTGGGCCAACCCCCAATATGATTTTATATACAGAAAAATCCTAAAAAATCGATCGGAAAGCTACTGGAAATAATCAACAATTACAGAAAAGTTGCAGGGTACAAAATCAACTTACAAAGATCAGTTGCATTTCTATGCTCTAATAACAAACTGATAGAAAGAGAATTCAAGAACACAATCGCAACGAAAAGAATAAAATACCTTGGAATAAATTTAACCAAGAAAAGTGAAAGACCTATAAAATGAAAACTCTAAGACTTTCCTGAAAGAAACTGATGACGAGATATAGAGATGGAAAGACATTCCATGCACATGGACTGGAAGAATAAACATAGTTAAAATGTCCATACTACCTAAAGCAATCTACAGATTCAATGCAATCCCAATTAGAATCCCAGTGATATTCTTCATGGAAATAGAACAAAGGATCCTAGAATTCCTATGGGGCAACAAAAGATCCAGAATTGCTAAAGCACTCCTGAGAAAAAAGAATGAAGCTGGAGGCATCATAATCCCTGACTTCA